GACAGTCCCATAGTTATTTCTCCAGAAATCCTAGCAAAATAGCACAGTCATTGATTAGCAATGTGTAAGGATTTTAGAAATCAAAAATACACAGCTTTTCTATGCAAGTCCCTGCAAAATCACTGTTTGTGTAATTACTGATATTTGTTCAGAATATGAACAGAACTTGCATAACAGGAATATAAATCTCCCCCAGATGACAAGACCGACCGTTTGTGATTTATACACATGGCTCATAGTCCCATACGTTACTACTCTGGGATATCCTTTGGCAAGATAGGAGTTAAGAAATGTGATTTATTCTTGGGTCAATTTCAGTAAAAGAAAAATATACATGCAAGGGGAAGAACCAGATCTTTTTTCCTTTCAAAATTACTGTCCTTAACTAGAAAAACATATTAATTATCTAGTATATTTCAGGTAACCACTTAGTAAAAGATAGAAGACAGTATTTGCTCAAAAAAAAAAAAATCAAAAGAATGAAAAAGAAACCAGTTTTGGAGACGACACACATTACGTCAGAGATGTTACAAGCGAATCCAGGGTGAAAATAACACAACACAGGAATTCTGTGGAGACAGAGCTTATGGCCGGGATGTGGGGGCAGTGGTGGGGGTAATGGGCAGGGCTTTAATGAGAAGCTAGAACCTCAGTGAACCTTCTTGGAAGGAAGGATGGGGATTGGGTAAGTGATGAGACTCAAGGACACTCCAGGAAGGACTTTGAATGAACAAGTGTCAGACACAGAACATGGCAAAGACCAACTAGGCTATAGCAAAGGATGCAAGTAGGAGAAAAAGAAGATTGGGGAAATTGGGGAATAGTCACACCATGGAGGGAATTCCACACCTGATTAAAAACTTCTGATTTTATCCTGTAGCACAGTGGTGACTTCCCATGCTATGGAGTCAAACAAAAGACTTATACCCCCGTTTTTCTATCTAATTGCTACTTGACCTTGGGCACATTAATTACTTTTCTTTCTTTACTTTTTCACTTCCTTCTTCCTTTTCATCTTTCTTTCTTCCGAGTTTGGCTTTACTTTTTTCAAATTTCATCGTGAAAATCTGCAAAAGGACACACAAGCTAAGGCAACTGTATAATCCACCCCACGTATGCATCCAGGCTTCCCACTCCCTCCTCAAGATCCTCCTTACCTGCAGCATCAGGTCTCATAGGATTCAGTCCCCGGGAGTACCTGGTTAAGGAACTCCTGCCAGTGGGAGGAGCCAGGAGAGGCTACTTGAGGAGGACCTATGTGAAAGTGGTACCCACCTCAGACTTGAGATACATGGGTCCCAACCTGGATCTCATGCTTTAAAGAGCCTGCTCCCACCCTCCTCGGGTCACTCTCCTTTCCACAGGGGAAGGAGTCCCGAGGAAAGGTCCCCATCTGAGCTTGTGCTTCCTCATAAGTCCTGGTATGGTGCCTGGAGCCCAGGAATTTCCTGCCTACCTGTCTTGAGGCCACCTCTAGGACACGCTCTCCCCCTCTGCGGGCACCACGAAATCCTAGAGGTGGGCAGGGGATAGCTTGAGGGGTGGATACAGGCAGAGCTTAGACCCGTGGGCTGAGGCTGCTCACATATGCATGAGACCCCCTAAAAGTATGAGAAGGGAGAGTAGAGGGAGAAAGAAAGGGTCCCCCCACCCATGCCTCATTCCTACAGACCAAGAACTCCCATCTGGAACTCCATTCTTGCCCCACAACCCACAAACATTAAAGGCAGGCCTCTGGGGGCACCTGGGTGGCTCAGTGGGTTAAAGCCTCTGCCTTCGGTTCAGGACATGATCCCAGGGTTCTGGGATCGAGCCCTGCCTCGGGCTCTCTGCTCAGCAGGGAGCCTGCTTCCTCCTCTCTCTCTGCCTGCCTTTCTTCCTACTTGTGATCTCTGTCAAATAAATAAATAAAATCTTAAAAAAAAAAAAAAAGCAGGCCTCTGAAAGGAAGCGCCATCTACAATTTTTTCTCAATGTTCTTGAATTTAAATGTATGCCACGATGTCTTCATCAAGTCAGCTCCTAGGACTGCCAAAGAGCCAGGTGAGCATTGTCTGAAGGCCTGGGGGAATGGAATAAAGTTTACATATGAAACAGTGAATTTGACCTATATGATTTCATCAGAAGAAAGGGGATGCCCTGAGCCATGAGGCCAGAGCAGACCAACATTCTCTTGGTGAGCAAATCTTTTCAAGGGGTCTATCAGAGAGTTAAAGCCCTGTGGTGTTTAAAACAAAAACCATCTGTGGATGCCTTTGTACAACAGAATTATTTTTTTATGAAAAAACACTTCATTGTAGAAGGAGAGAAATGCTAGTAGTAATCTTCGTGACATCCTAGAATTTAGCCATTCAGGTGCAAGGGGCCTGGGGGTGGGGTGGACAGCAGGTGCTATGTGTCTGAAGAGGCATACACCTAAAGGAAAAATAAAGTAGAAAAAGCAAAGTAGGGCAGCTCACAACAGCAATTAGGATGTTTTATTCCTGAGTGGATAATATGTGGTTTCATTTAAATAAGAACACAATCTCCATTAACTTAATTTGTAAAAGCAATAACTCCAACACTCCAGCTATGCCCTAGTAAGGCATTTTTAGACACATCATTGCTACTTGGAAATTAAAAGTGAATCAGGCCTGTGGAGTTAATTACCAATAAATGTAACCTAAAGTAGGTCTCCCAAATGGCAATGAGCCAGCCTAAGATGATTCCCAGTGTTAACCAGAAACATTGGAAGATACCAGGTACCTGAAAAGCTAAGTTTATATGTGTGGCAAGTGCTTTGGGGATTGGCAGGAGAAATCATCGACAACATCCACAGTGAGAAACGAAAATAAAGGCCCGATTAAAAGAAGATCTCTTTAGTAGAGATTTAGGAAAGTGTCCCCCCCAGTCCTGCTCACCCAAAGGAAAATCTTCAACTCCCTGTTGTTTTTGCAACCTATTCCCCAATTCAGTTATGCTTACAGAAAGGAAATCATACCTATTTCTTTTTAATGCTGGTATACAACCCTATTTAATTATATAAGGTAGAAATAATTTGAGAAACTAAAAATAAAATTAAATAAAGGAGGAACAAGGAAGTGACTCTCATCACTGGTGCTTTGGTGGTGTCCTCTGTTACAGTGTTCTCAAGGAGGTAGGCAAGAAGACCAGAGACAGAAGAAAAAAACTCAGAGAAATAGTTGTTTGAACTTTTAATTAAATATTTGAATCATAGTTAAATATTTGAATCAAGGAAAATGGGAATAGATGAAACCTTAGTGAGAGAGAAATGATACATGCACAAAGGGGAGAGATTAGTAAAATGACTGCTGACCTATTATTGGTAATGAACATATTTGTTTTGTTTTACTACAAACATGTCTAAGTTTCCTGCAACTCCCATAATTATTCAAATGCACACAGGTTCCCACTGTCCTCTAACTTAACGATGTTCAAGAGTGCGACAAAGTAAGCTGTTTTTGTTCTGAACTACACAGTTAATTGAGGTTCGGCCCCAGCTCTGATGTAGTTAGCAGTCATAATGCTAATAGATGGTTATCTTAAATTACTTTTTTCTAATTTTAATTTATTAAGTGATCTCACATGATTTTGTTTCATCCATTTCTAAATAAATTTAGTAAACCGAAGACAAGCCTCAAATCATACATTTTAAAACAGATTCCCATTTGAACTGTTTGCTGTATATAACTGAGTTTGTTACACCTGCTTCAACAGACACAATATTAATGTCAAGTGTCATGGTAATATATATATGAATTACTTAAAAAACAATGTTGCATTCTAATGTGTGGCTTGTCTAAACCCTAAAAGAACACAGACTGCCTTGCAGAGCAAAACCACTATTATTGATCCATCTTGACTGTGGTTCCATTTGCAAGATAAAGTCCCAACTGGGAGTTTCTCATAAATTGGGTCAAGACAAGAACCGTAAGTAGCCAGGGTATCTCCGTGTCTCTTTTCAAATAATTGAAGGTCACTTCTTCTGGTGTCTGGAAGAAGTAAAATGTCCTTGTCTAATGGGTATTGCTTTAGTATATACCACATGCCCAGTAAGTTCTAGCATCTAGGAGCATGCAATAGCGGCTAAGATTAGCTATGCAGTCATGGTATCATTAGTGTTTAATTATATCATGTGCATTGAGATATTTTAAATGTTAAAGAGAAAACAGAAGGACTTATTTTCCTTAGCAACTATTATAGTACAGAGTGTTCAAAGCTGCAATCACACTCATAAGGCAAGTAAACTGATTACAAAATGAAGGTAGCAACAAGTGTGCATGCTATAAAAACATGAAACTGGTACCTAAAACAGATAACCTCCTTATTTGTTTTCAAAATTCCATGGCTGGCTCAGGCCATCAATCAGCACAAGGGGAAATTTTCACTTTAACGCCTAATGCCAATGTTCACTCTTAGAAGTGCAAAAACAGGTGTAAAGTAATAGATCTGTTTTCTCTTTTCTCACTGGCTAAGATTCTATTTCATTCGGCAATGATTTGACTTTATAAAAACCCTTTTAAGAATAAAGGGCTTGAAGTCTTAATGGCAGCTCCTACTGGTATGCACGTCTGTGGCTTCATTCTCCGGGTTCATACAAAGGCTAAATCATAAGAGAAGCATCATCAAAGATAAGTTACTTTTTAAATACTTCTTATATCTTATTTCCTTCATCAATATTATTTCCTTTGGCTTATGCACACTCGAGGCGCTTCGTCTATATTATAAGACGATGAAGGTGGGAAGGGTAATACGTTATCAAAGCTCTTTTCAAAAACAGTGCTGAAATAAATTAACCTGTTCTTTTAAAATGTCAGGGTAACAAGTTCTTGAAGTTTCCGGTGTTTCGACTTTAGGGTTTCTCTAAAACACAGAAACAAAGGCTAAAAACCAGGTGGCTGTTCAAAGTGACTTCGGGGACCCCATTTAGGGAGAGACCTCGGTTCCCAGGTATTCCACTGGGGTCAAAGGCGAAATCTTCACACCGATTTATCGGGCTTGGCCTGCAGGAGTCTTCGTTCAGACAGGGGGTACTTTACAAGGGAAGGAGGCGATGCCCACCAAGGACGCTAGAAGCCGGCATCCCTGTTTCCCGTGGGCCCTGGCCGGGTCACCAGTGCTGGCCGGCGGCGCGGGTGCCCAGCTGCGCCTGGGACACCGCGGGCACGGCCGTGGCAGCAGCGGCGGCGGCCGCCGCGTCGCCGACACCCGGCAGGACGGAGCGCACGGAGCGCCGGAACTCCTCGTTCCTCCACGTGTAGAGCAAGGGGTTGAGCGCGGACAGCGCGCAGCACAGGAGCCAGCTGGCTGCCTGCACGCCCCAGGGCACCGGCAGCGAGAAGCCGCTGGCCAGGCTCACCCACACCAGAGGCTGCGTGGCCAGCAGGAAGACGCAGCAGAGCAGCAGCACCGACAGGCCGCTGAGACGCCGCTGCGCCCGCCGCGGGTGCAGCGCGGGCGGCAGGGGCTGGGCCTGCGCGGGGTGCGCCGCACCCCCGGGGCCCGACGCGTGCGGGGCGCCCGGGAAGGCGGCGGCGGCGGCGGCGCAGCCGGGCAGCTGGTGCAGCAGGTGGAAGTTGAGGACGCTGACCCGCTTGACGCTGACGCGCACGCGGCGCACGATGCCCAGGTAGCAGTGCAGCAGCAGCGCCGTCTGCGCCAGCAGCGCCGCGGCGGCCAGCAGGGCCGGGTAGTGGACGCGCGGGGGCGCGGCGCCGGGTCGCGGCGCCCAGGGCGGGAGCAGCAGCACGAGGCCCAGGGCGAGCGCCCAGGAGAGCGCCAGCATACCGGCCGTGTGGCGCCGCTGGTACAGCGCCTGGTAGGTGGCAGGCGCCCGGGTGATGAGCAGGTAGCGGTTCAGCGCCACCAGGCAGTGGGACAAGAGGGACACGGTGAGCCCCAGGCCTAGCAGCCCGCCCCGCAGCAGGCGGTAGCTGCCGCCGGCGCCGTCCCAGTCCGCGGGGGGCTCCGCCGAGCCGGTGGGCAGGAGCCCGAGCACCGCCTCCTGCGGCATCCAGAGGGCGCAGACGCTGAGGTCCGCCGCGCAGCCGTTCACGATGAAGGCGTTGCTGGTGGTCTGCAGCTTTCGGAAGGACGACACGAGATAGATGACCATGCCGTTGGCCAGCGTGCCCCCGATGGCCAGGCCCGAGTACAGAAGGGACACAGGGATGCGCCGGCCCGCCCACGACTCCTCTTCCTCGCAGAGCAGCAGCAGCGATCCCCCGGTGGTGGAGGAGGTGGACGTGGAGGAGGAGTTGGTCATTCTGGCCAACTCTTCACACCTCGCTTGCTAGCATCAGCTTCTCACAGCGTGGCCCATCCTGACACCCGCCTGCGGGGAGGACAGAGACAGCCCTTCAGCCTCTGCCACCGACACAAAAGGCTGAAGCAGAATAATGGGCTGGGGGAGGGGGAGAGAGGGAGCTCGAGGAGGACGGGGGTGGCAGATGACAGGTGCCTGCCTCGGAAATGTCTCCAGTGCGAGGGGAAAGGCCTCTTTGCATTCGGCAGGCACCAGGGAAGCCCAAGCCCGGGACAGAGCAATACCAAGAGTCTCCTCTTCTCCCCCCAAACACTCATACATGCACACACACACATACACATGCACATGCACACGCGCACACAGTTGGGAATATTGCCAGATAGAGCCCCTAGTTTCCAGGACAAAGCAGAGATATCCCAGCTGGGGAAAATGCCAGGGGAGAGGGGTTGAGGGGCGTACCTTACTTTGGGGCTGATCCTTAGCTGGCAGTAGCAGAGGCAGGGATGCCGGGAAATACCTCCTCACAGCAGCATCTGTGGTCCCAAAATCAACAGGAGAAACTCAGCTGGGATCAGTGCCAGGAGCCAGGGCTGGCTTCTCCCAAGCAGCATCCACACACATGGTCCTAGGCAGAAATCAGCAGCTGCAGGGAGACTTCTCAGCTGGCAGCAGGGCTGGGGAAAGTCAAGTGGCAGGCTGCAAGCCCAGAAGGGCGGGCAGGCAGGGAGCAGAAGCAGAGATGCTTGGCTGCAGAAGCAGAAGCTGAGCTCGAGAAGCAAGAGTGGTGCCTGATGTGGTGAACCCACACGAAGCTCTCTCGTGCTCAGTTATACATCACCCAGGGAAAAGGCAGCCTTTCCACGCTTGGCATGAATTATTCAATAGCTTCTATCTTGTGAAAGGAAAAAAATATCTTGTTCAGAAAGTCCTGTAATTAACAAGTTTCTCTGTCTTGTCTCTTCTCTCTTTCTCTCAATCACCTTATTTTTCACCCTGCTTCATTTTTCTTTCCTTTTTTCCCCCTCTCACCCATGTTCAAATAAAATTTAATATGCTCCTAATATATTTCATCCTAGCCTCATGCATTCTGTGGGCAAGATTTTTCCAAGGGATGAATATACTCCCAGTACCCAGGACTGATCTCTTCCATCTCACACTTGTTGGGAGAATTACTTTGTATTCTAAATGAAATTCATTTTTTCTGTGGTAAGGTGGGACAATTATCCACAGAAGATCCCCAAATCTCCATTTAAGTCATCATTTTTATTTTATTCTCATCACCAAACTCCTTTCCAGAGTTTGGCTTGTGTTCAGGAATGAAAGTGTTAGAGGGTAAAAATGTAATGGTCAAGTTAAAAGTAGATATTGAAGATAGAAAGAAACCTGAATAACCCACAGTGTCAATGACAAAGATGGCCCTTTGTTTGAGAACTTTTTATTCTGTGGTCTTAGGTGGAGATTTGCAGTCAAATGTTGGAAATTAATTTGACACAAGCTCTTATTTAATCATTCCGCATGGGAAATTTTCCATAAAAGCCATCCTTCCCTCCTACCCCCTCCCCAATAAATTAATTTTCACTGTGAAAATCATTTATCTGAAAACTGAACTCAGTATGGAATATGGTAACCTGGCCTAATGGAAAAAATGCTCGGTGAGGGGGCACCTGGGTGGCTCAGTGAGTTAAAGCCTCTGCCTTCTGCTGGGGTCATGGTCCCAGGGTCCTGGGATCGAGCCCTGCATCAGGCTCTCTGCTCAGTGGGGAGCCTGCTTTCCCCTTTCTCTCTCTCTGCTTCCCTCTCTGCCTACTTGTGATCTCTGTCTGTCAAATAAATAAATAATCTTTTTTTTAAAAAGTATCTATATTGAAAAAAAAAAAAATGCTCCGTGAGGTTTCAGGACACCTGAGTTCTAAGCTGAGCATCTACCAACTGGCCTTGTGATGGGTCGTTTATGTCATCTTGTCAAAAAAGAAGCTTTCACTCAGTGACTTCCAAGGCCTTTCTTTTCAAACTTTCTGTGAATCCCCACACATAAATGTAACATTCTTCCTCCCTAGTTCTGACACTAGAAACATGCGTACTCTGCCTAACGTGTGCTGTAGTCCTGTGTCCTACAGTCTGAACCCTTTCCCAGCTGTCCATAGGGTAACATTTCAGGAATGGAGTGCAAGACACTCTCCCTCAGCTTTCCCCTCACCCTTTCAAAGAATGGTATTAAATAATGACCGCTAACAACTCTAATGGGGTTTGTGCTAAGCCTGACTTGATGGGTTTAGCCCTTTTAGGCAGTAATTAAGTGGAATGAGTTGAGTTAGGGGACTAAAGAGAAGAACCAGAGATTTGCTCTTCCGAGGACTGAGAGGTTCAGATGTCAAGCTCATTGATGTTGAAGAGAATTTGCCATTGTCCTCTGCCTGTGGTCATTTGTCTTTATTGAGCCTCTGAGTACATTAAGCACAGCACACATGCTAGAGAGTCCTCTAATTATTTAGAGTTAAACTTTGTTGTTGAGATAAAAATTTCCTCTTGGGCCTCCTGGGTGGCTCAATAGGTTAAGCACCTGCCTTCGGCTCAGGTCATGACCCCAGAGTCCTGGGATGGAGTCCAACATCGGGCTCCCTGCTCAGCAGAGCCTGCTTCTCCCTCTCCTGCTCGCCCTGCTTGTGGTCATTCTCTGTCAAATAAATAAGTAAAATATTTTTTAAAAATTTTTTATTTAATTTCTTTTCAGTGTAACAGAATTCATTATTTATGCACCACACCCAGTGCTCCATGCAATACGTGCCTTCCATAATACCCACCACCAGGCTCCCCCAACCTCCCACCCCTGCCCCTTCAAAACCCTCAGATTGTTTTTCAGAGTCCATAGTCTCTCATGGTTCATCTCCCCCTCCAATTTCCCTCTACTCCTGTCTCCTCTCCATCTCTCCATGTCCTCTGTGTTATTTCTTATACTCCACAAATAAGTGAAACCATATGATAATTGACTCTCTCTGCTTGACTTATTTCACTCAGCATAATCTCTTCCAGTCCCGTCCATGCTGATACAAAAGTTGGGTATTCATCCTTTCTGAGGGAGGCATAATACTCCATAGTGTATATGGACCACATCTTCCTTATCCATTCGTCAGTTGAAGGGCATCTTGGTTCTTTCCACAGTTTGGCAACCGTGGCCATTGCTGCTATGAACATTGGGGTAGAGCCCAGATATGGACCCTCAACTCTATGGTCAAATAATCGACAAAGCAGGAAAAAATATACAGTGGAAAAAAGACAGTCTCTTCAATAAATTTTTAAAATAGGGGCGCCTGGGTGGCTCAGTGGGTTAAGGCCTCTGCCTTCAGCTCGGGTCATGATCCCAGGGTCCTGGGATCGAGAGTCGGGCTCTCTGCTCCGCTCGGAGTCTGGTTCCCACCCTCCACCCCCCACCGCCGTGCCTGCCTCTCTGCCTACTTGTGATCTCTGTCTGTCAGATAAATAAATAAAATCTTTTAAAAAAAATTTTTAAATAAGTAAATAAAAATTTCCTCTCACACCAAGGCAGTATTTGAATTCCAGGTTCCCGGGCCCAGCTGCTGCCTTACGCGATGCCTCTGGGAATGAGCAAAATCCTCTGCTGAAAGGCTTTCACACCTTTCATTCACTCAGGTTTCTGTGAAGACCATGACTTCTGCAGCCCTGGCCCGCCAGGGGGCAAGTTTTTATTTGTATTTGGTGTGGGTTTTGTTTGAAGCCATTGAACTTACATAAAATAGGGTGAGAGTGGGGGGTTTCTCTCTCATTCCCAGCACCAGGACTATGCCTGGCATGTAGAAGGTAGAAGGTAGTGCATAAATAATTACTGAATCAGGGAATGGGTGGCTATATAAATGATTTCAGGTTTTTTTCCATGGTGAAACATTTGGTAAGTGGTTTTCATGACCGCCTCGTTCCTCCTACCCTCAGCAGGAACTTGTCCCCTCAGCCACCCTTCTGAGGTATGTCCAGTCTCTCTACCCTGACCCATTCCTTCCCCTTGGTTTCAAAATGCCAGTTTCACCACAACCGAATGAAAACTTCCCCTGTGCTCCCTCTTCTTCTCAGGCCGCCTACACAAGCTCACTCCAGCTCCTGGCAGAAGGGCTGGGTTTCTTCTACCCAGTGCCCACCCCACGCTTGCATCTGATCTCACCCCTGAGATAGCCGCCACCTGGCTTAACTTCTACCCATATGCAAAGTTGCCTACCCGATGTCGCTACTTGGGTGTTCTGTGGCCATCTCAAAACCCCAATGTCCAGAACGGATCCCCTCCTCTGCTTTCCAAACCAATCTCTCCTTCTCCTATATTCCAGTCCAGGGGACCAGCATCACCATTATCCTGGTGCCTAACTTAGAATCCAAGCTGTCATTTTTGATTCCTCCCTGTATCGATCAATCACCAAGTGTCCTCATTCTAACACTGGAATGCTTTTTTTAAATCTGTTCACTGAACTCTATTCACTCTGTTATTATTACCTGCTATCAGTCAACCAGCATCTCTTTTCTAAATTATCCCAACAAGCACCTAATTGATATCTACTTACCATCTTTCCTCCTTCCAACCAAAGCGATCTTTCTAAGACTGAAAGACATCACTTCACAGGTGTTACATTTTATTTTTATGTTTCCCCACCTTCCACTCTAATGTACATTCCTTGAAAATAGGAGCTTCGCATTGATTACTCACATTATTGGAAGCTCCCAGAACAATGCCAGACACATAATAAACCCTTAATCAACATTTGTTGGAGGAAATAATGAGCAAATGTCACTATTATGCTTCAGTTCTTTCAACTAAGACCGTATTGTGCTCAGGAGAATCGTAAGCGTCATCATTGCTAACGTTACTGAGCACATACCACAGGTACCCAGCATTGTTCTGAGGAATTTTTTTTCAAGATTTTATTTATTTATTTGACAAAGATCACAAGCAGGCAGAGAGGCAGGCAGAGAGAGAGAGGAAGGGAAGCAGGCTCCCTGCTGAGCAGAGAGCTCGATGTGGGGCTCGATCCCAGGACTCTGGGATCATGACTCGGGCCGAAGACAGAGGCTTTAACCCACTGAGCCACCCAGGCGCCCCGTTCTGAGGATTTTTTGTCTATTGTTTCATTTGGCCCTCATGTCCAACCTACAGGGTAGCTAGGCTTACCTCCAAACTTACAGGCCAGGGCGGGAGTCCAGATACAAGTCCACAGGCTATATGTCTAAGTATTTTTAAATCAAAAATCAAGCCATCCAACTGTTAAACAATATTCTGTTCTCCTAACTTGACAAATATATTTTCATAACAACCGGAAAGCTGGGCTCAAATTTAGAATTCTCAGATTCATAGATAGTTCCATGCTCCTGGAATGGGACTACTTGGCAAACTTGCCTCCATCCCACAGTCTATCCCCTTCTCTCCCTACCTTGGCTCTGTCATTATATGCCAGAGGGACCTGTGTGATATAGGACACTCCAGCCTGTCCATCCGAGTCCCAACCACACCCCTGTCACACAGCTATCCCTTGGCACCATCTCAGACCTGTGATGGTAGCCGGAAGGCAGAATCAGCCATCAGAAGGACAAAGCCAGAGCAGAAATCCATGCAGGTCAGGAAAGTGTGTTCATGGCCACTGGGCAGGGAATTCTGGGGTCCTTGTGGATGAACACGGTCTAGAAGGGCATGTGAGCTCTGGGTGAACTTGTTCCCCGGGATCCATTTAGTAGATGAGAAAACTGAGTCACAAAAATAATTTGGGAAAT